CTCGACTCAAAATCGCTGTTTTGCTTCACTTGCGCTCTCTGTTTGAAAATTTCGTGCTTTCCAGATTAAAGTATATATCAACTTGAAATTTCTGTCATGTTTAGCTGACGCTTTGCTAAAAAGACGATAAAAGTTTAACGAGAATCTCACAAGTTTCTGAATTTTTTCAGCATAGTAAGACCTGGACTCAAAATCGCCGTTTTGCTTCACTTGCACTCTCTGTTTTAAAACTTCGCGGTTTCCAGATTAAAGTATATAGCAACTTGAAATTTCCGTCAGGCGAAGGTGACGCTTTTCTGAAAAGATGCTAAAAGTTTCAATAAAATTTCTCAAGTTTTTTAATTTTTCCAGCATAGTGAAACCTAGGGCTCAAATTGACGTTTTTCTTCACTTGCGCTCTCTCTTTTAAAATTTACCATTTTCTAAATCAAAGCATGTCGCAACTTGAAATTTCTGTAATCTTTAGCAGAGACTTCACTCAAAATATTTTAAAAGTTTCATTAGAATCACTCAAATTTCTGAATTTTACCAGCGTAGGAAAACCTGGACTCAAAATCGCTGTTTTGCTTCACTTGCGCTCTTTGTTTGAAAATTTCGCGCTTTCCAGATTAAAGTACATATCAACTTGAAATTTCCGTCATGTTTAGCTGATGCTTTGCTAAAAAGACGCTAACAATTTTATGAGAATCTCACAAGTTTCTGAATTTTGTCAGCATAGTAAGACCTGGACACAAAATCGCCGTTTTGCTTCACGTGCACTCTCTGTTTGAAAATTTCGCGCTTTCCAGTTTAAAGTATACAGCAACTTGAAATTTGCGTCATGTTTAGCTGAGGCTTTACTCAAAAGATGCTAAAAGTTTCATTAGAATCTCCCGAATTTCTGAATTTTACCAGCGTAGGAAACTTGGACTCAAAATCGACTTTTTACTTCACTTCCCCTCTCTGTTTTTAAATTTTACGCTTTCCAGATTAAACTATTTGGCAACTTGAGATTTCCGTCATCCTTAGCTGAGGCTTTAATGAAAAAATGCTAAAAGTGTCAAAACAATCCCCCCAACTTTTTAATTTTTCCAGCATAGTAAAACTTGGACTCAAAATCGACAATTTTAGCCACTTGCGCTCTCTCTTTTAAAATTTCACCTTTTCCAACCCAAAGCACCTAGCAACTTGAAATTTCTGCAATCTTTAGCAGACGTTTCTCCCAAACAATTCTAAAAGTTTCATCAGAATCGCCCAAATTTCAAATTTTGCCAGCGTAGTTGGTAGTAAGTAGTAGTAGTAAAGTTGCGCTTGTCACTTGCGCTCTCTCTCTGAAAATTTTCCCGGATTTTTAGCAGACACTTGATTATTTTTTAGCAAACAAACTGCCGGAAAAATCCTGATTTTTGCCAGCCTGGTAAACTTTGGCCTTAAAATCGACTCTTTCTCCCAACTGCACTCTCTCCTTTAAAAGTTCACAACTCCTAAACAAAAGCAAGTAGCGACTTGAATTTTATCCATCCTACAGCCGCACACTTAAACCTGAAAATGCTGACATTTCACATTTCTTAACATTCTTCTGAAGTGTTCTCCAGCTGCATTCGCTTTGGCTTCGTAGATGGTGAAGGTAAAGCACTGTGTATCCCTGAGGAAGCTTTCTAAGTTATCCAGTATCGATTGCATAAATTCCAGCTCGATAAAACCCCCCGCAATCAATATTCTCTTAGATTGATAAACTATCTACTCAAAACTCTCCAGCAATCCATTCCAGCACTAAAAGCGACGTGGCGAGTTTCCAGCGCACATCAGCCCCCCGGAAATGTGGATAAATTCAGCTGCGTAAAGCGGACTTCTATTGGCTTTTTCGGGAAGCTTTAGTTAGGGTGGATCTCCTGGATCGCGAGTGTTTTCCACGTTTTCTCATTGTTTTTGCCGTGGAAAAACCCGTCGATTTTCCACATGGTAAAAGTGGCCGTGCATGGGGGATTCTCTATGCGTCCAATTTGAAAATTTGCACCTCAATACTCCAGAATTGAGACGGTTTTGGATGTGTTTAGGTTACATTTACTTAGTGTTTTCATGTGTGTGTTTGCAAAAACCTGCTATGCCTAAAGGCGTTAAGACTTTGGACTAAGCAGGATTTGACGTGTTCAGGCGAACATGCCGGAGAAAAAGAATAAGTTTGAAATGAATTTTTTTATTAAAAGACTGGGTGGCGGCAAACGGTTCAACAAAACATCAGAAACACATAAAACCCCCATTAAAAGCCCGACAAATCGGGTGAAAATTGCCGCTCCATATGCCTACGTTGAGGTAAGTCTCAGATTTGTTTATTTCCGGGAAATCAGGCCAAGCTTCTGTTTTTCTCCCTTCTATTGACTGTTCGGGGCCAATATAGGTCAAAGGTATCATGTTTTGATGCGATGCCAATAAGATTCATCATCCCTTAACTGCTGGAAGGGCTTAGAAATGTTTTTCGTTGTTGTTTTGCCTTCTTATCTGTATGTTTCGAATGTTTCTTTGCCGTCCGCTTTTTTAGCCTTTGGGTATTTGGTCCATCTTCAAAAATAGTCAGGGCTTTGGTTCCCAAGTTCGTTATAAATTATTAATATTTTGTAAGCGTTTTGTTCCCTTTCGCCGTCATCACCTCTATATGTATACTGGGTGGAAAAATAGGCTTTTTTCGTGAAATACTATGATTTTTTTTCTGTTTCAGGAATTGGCAGTCAGTTCACCAAATGAACGGAACTGGCGTGGAATTTTTATCGCACTTCTGGTTATAGCGGCCGTTTTGGGATTGATCGTGTTTAGCATCGTTCTCGTGTCGCCGCCAGAAGAAGCGCCAAGAATAAAAGGCGTCAAACCCAACTTAGAAGATATTTTTGTAAAATTACCTCCAGCCGCCAGATTCAACGGGACCTGGATATCAGGTAGCTAATGGAAAGTCAGATGGGAACTTTGAAAGTTTATTTATTCTGGCGTCGTCTGCGACTTGATAAACTTTCTTATTGAATTTGCTCGCTTTTGGTGTATCCAACTGCCAGCCAGTTTTTCCTTTCTTGTTGCTTTTGTCTGAGTTTTTCCACGCCTCAGACCGTGAAGGGCGAATGACAACAAAAGGGACTTTTCAACTTTTTTTTGGCCAGCAACTGCCAGCAAAATCTAACAGTCATTTGCTTTTCAGATAACGAATTTATTTTTAAAGACATTTATGGTGGGATATCGATATACAATGCCGATAACTTAACCACAAGTGTTATCATGACGAATATTACCCTGGTAAGTTCTTGCTTACAGTATTGGTGTCTTTTTAACGTGATTATTTTCAGAGACAATATGAGGTTGTTGATTTTCAAGTTTCCAACGATTTGAAGTTTATTTTACTTATAAGCGACGTAATTAAGATTTATGAATATACAACGTTGGCCAAGTACTACATATATGAGCTGGCCACAAGGTGGGTTCTACTTTCTACTAGGCAGATCTGAAAAACACATTTTTACCACCAGTGAATAGTTTTCGTTCCTTCCTTTCTAAAATTTCATATCTTTGACGCCAGTCAGCAAAAACTTGAGCTTTTCATATATTATAGAATAGACGAAAGTTTCAATAAGGCGAACGTTTAATTTAAATTGCGTTGGATTCTGGCTCTTGGTAGTTTCGCAGCTTCAGGCGTCAAAGCGAATGTTTCCTCACAAAAGCTCTTCCAACATAAACCAAGCAGAAACTTCAGGTTTTCACGAGTGATTGCAAACACCTCAGTTTCACTAAAGAGAATGTTTCAATGAAATTCCAATGAATGCTGGGGCTTTTTCAGGTCTATAACTTCAGGCACAAAAATGAATGTTTCCTCACAAGTACGTCATGCTCTATTTTAAAAATTCATATCGTCCAAAATAAACCCAGTAAAAACTGGAACTTTTGACACATTATAGAAACTCTTTCAGTCTCAACAACTGGAATCCTCTCAGAACAGTACTTTTTATGTTTGTAACTAACTGGTCTAAAAATAATAGCTTTCAGACAATATTATGTTCTTTTTAAAAAATTATATTTTTCAAAATACCGAGAGCCCGAACTTGAACTTTTCGTAAATTATTGAAAATACTTCAGGCTAAATAGGAAGTTGCACCTAAATCCCATGGTATTCTGATTTTTGTGAGTGTTGTAACTTTGGGTCTGAAAATGAACGTTTTCTGAGAAATGCATGCTCTACCTAAAAAATGAATATCTCCGAAGATAAAGAAGGTAGGAATTGCAAGGTTTCACACATTTTAGCAGCTAACCTTGAGTCAAAACACGCAAAAATTAGTTACAAAAAACTACTTTTGAATTTGTCAATTTTGCTCTAAAATCGAATTTTTTCGCTCAATTATACGCAGTATATAAAGAATCATGTTTTCCAAAATAGTCTCAGCAGAAACCTGAAATGTTCGCAAATTGTGTAGGATGTTTTAGGCTGAACACGTGAAAAGTTTCGTTTAACTACCGTGCAATTTAGATGTTTGTATATTTGCCAGTATTTCAGGCCTAAAAGAAAAAAAAATGCTGAATTGTATGTTATTTCTTAAAAATTAGTTTTTTCCTGAACTTTTGAAGACGCTTTACTTTCAACAATCGCAAACTCTTTCTTAAATCCCGTAGACTTCCCGATTTTCGTTTTATAACTTCGGGTATAAAAGGGAGCGTTTCCTTACAGGTGCAAGCTTCACTTTAGAAATTCATATCTTCCAAGGTAACTCAAATAGCAACTTAAAAATTTCAG